GAAAAAAATGGCGGACAGCCTTGTTTGGCGACCCCCATGAAATGGTCGTTCGACCCCAAATGGGGTCCCGACCCACAGGTTGAGAACCACTGCTTTAGATTGAGTTCCAAAAAGTGCTCCAGAATGCAAATGTAATCTTTGTTTGCAGCTCTCCAAAACAGCTTGGGATAATGTGACAATTGCAGAGGGCAGCCACACAATCTCAAGAAAAAACAGGACTGCTTTAAAAAGGTCTCAGGTTCATCTTGTGCATTCTAAAGCACCTTTTAAAACATTTACAGAATTACAACTGTATTAAACAAGTTATAACAATTTGAGACTGTGTTACTAGAACTGTAAGCAAACTGGTACATGTTATTATCTTTGGTATAATCCTTTTTTTAATTAAAAGGCTTTGAAGAATTTGTGGACATCACACAACTGTCTTTTACCATAAATCCTGCTAATATAATGTCTCTCAAACTTTTTGACACCGCAGTTCCCTAAATATGCCACCTCTAGATATTAGAAGAGATTTACATGTTTGCATAGGCAAAATGAGAAGCAAAACCAAGAAAAGGTTCTTGACAGTATTCTTGCTTTGTTAAGGCAAGACTGATCAAGTTTTTGAAAATTAGTAACTCCCTCTTCTCTCCCTGAAGGGTCCTGATCCAAAGTTTGGGAAGAAGTGTCTCTACTATCCAGTCTGAGGGTCCAGGAATGAAGCTTTTTAATGGCTGATGCGGAAAGAATTCTGCTTTTGATTGAAATTTTCTGGTTTTTAAATTGATTACGGACATACTTATATGTTTGTATATTGGATTTTTACTTGTTTTTATTGCAATTATTTTTAATTGTTGCGAGTTACCCAGAGTATCTTAGATCAGATGGATGGCCATGCAAAATCAAATAAAAAATAATTTCTTATGGGAGTTTATTATCCACATCTCCTAATCTATATAAAATTATCCCTCTTAACCAATGGATTTAATTCAAATTGTTACTATATTCATTACTGCAACAATGAAAACTTAAATTAATATTTGAAGTTTTTAATGTATGAAAAATTGCTTTCACTAAAAAATCATTAGAACAAACATAGCTTTGAAAATTCCTGCAACTGAGGAGGAAAAGCAAATCAAGTTCAAGTGCTGGTAATTTCATGGCAATGATACAAATAAAATTTGCCACTGTGTTCTACTGTGATATGGTTTCAAATTCTCAGACTAGACAATAACCCTGAAATTCCTTGGAGTTCTGCTATCCAAATATTAACCATGCCCAATCGCGGTTAGCTTTCAAGCCCAGAAAGTTGGCAAATGTTGCCAACTCTGGAGGCATAAAATTTGGTCTTAATTTCTTCTTTATATTAACAATATTTGTCCTAATAACTTTACTTCCGTTTGAATAATTATAATAATTATTATAGACAAAACTAACCAATAAGGATTTTATTTTATATCACAGATATATAGTACAGTTGTGCACACTATCAAAATTATTTGGACTTTGTATGAGCGCATGGCATCTCTACTGTTCATTAAATCAACACATTTTCTTCAACCACTCACAATTTACTTATATCTGTTGAAATATTTGTAAACACATACACAATTTTCTTACCTAATTATCCCTAACTATGAAATCTTCCTTTTGAAACTATGCATTCTTCAATTTCTTCTATGTCTAGGTTACAATTCTATATACAGTTAGCTCAAGAGTAAGTTCCAATGAACACTACAAAGCTTTCTCCTGAATAGCAGGTACATTACATGGTCAAGTACTCAAGAGAAGCTGCATCAAACATTTCAGAACTAGAATTTAATTTCAAAAAACATGAATGAGTTGCATCTCACCTTTTTCATGGCCTCTTTGTGTTGTGCCTGGAGTGTTTCAAGTTGAAATCTTCCTTTCATTTCTTCTATGCTACTTCCTGTAGATAGAGATTAATCTAGTAACGCGACTTTAGTACAGGGTTAGATTAATTTTTAGTCCATTTTTTATTTTTGTTTCTTATCTTAAATGTGGGAAAAGGAATGGAATGCTCACAAACTACTTGCAAGTGGATCTTTCAATTTTTCTCCCCAAATTTTCAGATGTTATTTTCGGGAGAGTTAAAATCGGACCTGGAAACAGTTTGTTTCTCAAGGACTTCCTACTCCCATCCCATCCTTATAACCCCTATAAAGAGCCAAAAAGATTCTGAAGTCGGACTGAGAAAAGGTAATTATAGTCTGGTTTGGAGTGAGAATCAGATCAGTTAAATGTTTCCACTATGATCCCCAATCTTAAGCTTAAATAAAAAAATCAATGCCTAATTGTGGTCATTTTGCTGTCATGATTCAGTACTATGGTCTTAGACGGGTGATAGGAAGTTACATGTGGCTAATAGAGCCATTCCTGCCTTATAATTATGCCTTGTTTATAAAGGTTAAGTTTTATATATAGAAACTTTAATTTTAAACCAAAGACAAAATAGGCAATGGTTCTGCCATGGTTATATCTTCTTGCTAGGAAAATGGAAGGATTTTTTTAATTGCTTGTGTTTACTAATAGAATATTGATAAGCGACAGGCCAAGCCTGTATTTATGCATTCAGTACAATAAAAACCCTGCTCTTTCACATAGCATTATGTGGAGATGTAGGGGAAAAGGAAAAGAGAAATGAACTAATTTACCAGAAGATAAAAGTGGATTTGTTGCAATTTCTTTCCATATACCTATATATTTGATTCATATCAATCCACTACCTCTTATCGATTTCTGTATTCACTGTGTACATACCAAATGATTTTGTCTCAGTCGTTACAGTAATATTCCATTGATCGGGTGTTTTGAACTGATTGGTGCTACTTGGGAAAACGGACAACTGAGCATTTTGCTCTGTTTTGAACAAATTTGTTTCTGAAGAAACATCTGGTGTCAATGCCTGGGAAGCAATAATGTCTATCTCCTTCAAGTCATCTACTGTAAAATCATCATTATCCCCAAATGGATCTTCTGTTTCTTTACATTTGGGTAAAACAACACTTTTGTAACGCTTGTTTGGTGGGAATCCTTCACCATGATTTCCAATATTATTATGGCTCATAGATCTCTGGAAAGGTGAAGATGAAGAAGTAATTTTTGTCTGATCAACATCATATAATATAGAGCTGTTTCTCTTCTTATTTCCAAAGAAGTTATTCACTGACATTTTCTATTAACATAGGCCTGGCAAATAGACAGAAAAATAAAAAAAGTAGTTAAGAGTTCAACCAAATGTTAATAAGGAAGAAACATAAGAGATCAGCAGAATGACATAAACAAATTATATTAGGGTCTCATTGACTTATTTCCTAAGGTCTTGAAAACCAAATGCATGCATATTTATCACATACACCAAAGAAGAACTTCAGGAAGTTTACTGGTAGACCCAAAGATTTGTAAAAAACAATGAAAGAAAAAACCAAAAATTTAAACACAATTATATTCCAGCCACAGTCCTAACATGTTTACCTGGGAATAAGTTCAACTGAATCCAGGAGAGCTTATTTTGGAATAAATATGCACAGGATTGCACTTTAAGCCATTTGAATTCCAGAGGAAAGCTATAAAAATTGATTACACAAGCTTCTTAGAGCAGTGATTCCTAAAATAAAGAATTCAGATTTAATAATACATAATACATATTACAATAGTTTAGTGTAGCTTTTCTCAACTGGGATTTTGTGAAACCCTAGAATTTTATGAGAAGTCTCTAGATGTTAAAAAAAAAACTTCTTAATTCTGGGGACTGTAGGCATAATTTTTATGTTCCCTGAGACATGAACATTATTTTAAGTGTTCCTCCAGAGTAAAAAGGTTGAGAAAGGCTGGTCTAGTAAATAGGCAAAATCCAAAAAGATGCTTAAGCACTTCATAGCTTAATCCTGCATATTTTTATTGAGAAATAATCTCACTAAGTTCAATAGTATTCAGTGTATAGTAAGAATACTCTTAAAGATAGCTACATGTAGCAAGTTAATCAGATGCCAATTCTAGGCTTCCTGTTGCTCAAGTTATATGTTCGCTTTATCTTTCCAGTTATCAAAACTCACAATCTTAAATTTATACTAAAGCTCACCTTGTTCACATTTCTTCTTCTATCTTAGGTTTATCTGAATAGTTCCTCAGACCCTTGAAGGTTTTACCTATGTAAAAGCCGCCTGAGCTACAAAAAGTGTGCCTGCAAAATATATTTAATTAACTGATCGTTAATTTAAGCCCGACTTATCACTGAGTTTTCCTGGCTCTTATGCTATAATTAAATCATAAACGAGCCACAGCGGCGTTTATCGTACATCCATCAATGGTTATTGATGTGCTTTATCAACACAGACATCTACTATTTTTACTTCATAACTCGGGTATCTAACTTGCATCTTCAATTTTTCTTATCGCAGAAAAACGGGGTAAGGTGGAAGCGAGCGTGGAAATGGTTTGGAGAGAAAACAGGGTTATCTCCTGCACTGTCTACAGACACTAAAAGCAGGAAGCAAGCGGGAATTCCCTCTCGCGCATCGGAGGCGTACCGAGGGTCACGCTTCCGGCCCCAGCGCGGCGACGGCTTCCGGTTCTCCTGCAACTCCGCATCCTCTCCTTCCGTCTCTTCTCGTCTCCTCCTCTGCAGTTCCGCAATATCGAGACCGCAATATCGTCTTAAGAAAGCGAGGCAGCCAAACCTCCGTCGAACAGCGCTGCGAAAAAAAGGAATAACAGACCGCCCGAGCGTCCTCCCGAACACGGCTGGTGGTGGCGGCCACGCCCCCAATCTCCACCGACCAATCGCTAGCTGACTCCCCACCAATGACAGCACCGGTGCCCTTAAGGTCCGATCAGCTTTTCGGAAACGGAACGTAAAGCGCCGCGCTACGGAAACGCAGCAGCGACAAAATGTGAAACGCCAAGGAAGGAGGGAAGGAAGGAGGGGCTTGCCCAGTTTTCTTTGTGGGATTATTTCCAAACTGCTTGTCTCCATTATTATTCGTGATTTACTTCATCACTTTCTGGCTAGCGCGGTAAAAATGACATATGCTGCTAAGGGTGGATGTCGAAATCCAAGGCTTTTAGGTTGCAGCCACTAAATTTCTACCTCCCACAAAGTGAAAAAGAGAGTCAATGGTTCTCCGGATTTGAAAAGAGCATTAAGGTGGAAATACAATTTGATTTTTATTTACTTTTGTTTACATAGTAGCTTTCAATCTAAACTAACATTGCAATAAAAATCACAGCATAGCAGTACAAAAGATCTACAATTAATGAAGAAAATAAATGATAAACTAGCAGCGGTCAGAAATGCATAGGGGTTTTTTTGCTATCTGTTGAAAAGGGCAGCATATATCATTTCAATTGCATTGGCCCTCACTTAACAGGATTGTAAATAACTGATCAATTTAAAAAAAAATTGAAACAACACACGACACTTAGAGCATGCCTTCAGCAACATACAACCATAAACACTAAGATTTATCCAATAGCCTAGCCAAATGCTCAGGCAAGAACAAGGTTCTCAATGTCTTATGAAAAGCCAGCAGGGTCAGGGTTGTCTTGAATTTAAGGAAGGTCTTGTGACAGAGAAGGCTGGTTTCAAAGATATTTAACAGAGAACCTGGAGCCCACCCTATCAGATTTTGTGGAATGAAGAAAAATGGTTGCAGATAGGCAATTTTGCAGATAACCTGGCTCTATGCCACAAAGAGCTTTTTACGTGACGATTAGCATCTTGAATAGCACTCAAAAGATCACTTGGAATCAGAGTTACAAGTAGAATGGGTATATCAATACACATTCATAACTACTCACACCACCTAACATTCCAAATTGTCTTCCAGGGCAGTCTATATAGAGCACATTGCAATAATTTGGATGGGAGTGAACAAAGCAACAGTGACAATAAGTAGAGTGTCCTAATCTACGAATTGGCATGTAAGATAGGCCTCCTATTCATAGATGCTCCTCAAGCAACAATTGAAAGTCTAGGAGGATCCCCAATTTGGGTACCACCTTTCTCCTGAGATGTGCTATCCCACTGAGAAACAAAGATGTTAAATCCCCAGAATTGTCAGGATACATGAGAACATACATATGCTTTCTTTATTTGCATAAGACAAGCAGGAATGGTGAAGTTATGTTCACATAACACATCTGTCCATAGTTAACTGAATCTTGCTTTATTTAATCAAATTTTCTGGATGCACTGAATACTCGGAACCATAATCTAACTGCAAAATGAGATATTGCAAAACATATTACTTCAAAAAATGATTGGATAAATTGTGATTCAGTGTATTGTGCAAATATAGCCAGTCCAAAACTGTAGTGTAGTCATTTTCAAGACTATCCTCCATCTGGAGCATGCAAGAATTATTACTGGACAGCCAGCATAACTATGGATTATGTCACTTTCAAATTACCTGAAATTAGAGGAGAAAGTTATTGAAGAATATCTTTTTTTTCTATTCTCTTGCTACCCTAAATGGCAGTCTTTTGTAATATATTTGGCCTATGCAGGATAAGTGACATTATAGCTCTGATACTAATGAGCCCATATTGCCCACTAAGCTTGGTACAACTCATTTGCTATTAGAAAAGATGAACAATGGAGAAATAGCATACTATATACAAATAATTAATCTCTAAGTACTTAAAATCTTTCTTGTTGATCTCTACTGTGACTTCATGGACACATTCTTATAATTTTCTTGGCAACAGCACAGGATGTTTGGCCTTTTTCCATTTTTTAAAATTTCCTCACATATATACCTGCATGTCCAGTCTCCTATTTAAACATTACGTACCACAGCTAAAAATGTACTTAATTTTTTTGAGATCAAGTGAAGTTGTCTAGATGGTGCCACCTACCTGGCTACCAGTCTTAAACATCCTCTTTATTTTCAAGAACATGTCTAAGCCACCACACAGATCTCAAAAAAATTCTCAAAAAGGTCAAATGGGAAATGAGAGTTGGTGGAGGTGGTGAGCATCGTCATCACTTTGTCTTCTGGTAAACTGATGTTTTATAATTAGCCACCACCACTATGGCAGTTATTCTGTAAAAAATGCAGCTCTCTAAGGCAATCATTTTGGGAGAGGATTCATATTTTAAGTTTTCCAAATGTAGCCACTGTTCTAAAAAGATGGCTTTCCCAGACATGACCAAAAACATTTATTTTGAAAACTTGCCTAATATTGACAAACTATAGTCTTTGAAATATATTCCTTACATGGATTAACAAAAACCACTTAATTCCTTGTAGTTGTGCCTAAAAAAGAATTACTAAAGTCTCTCTGTAGCCCTGTATCTTAATCAAGGACAACAGATAACTCTCTAGATCTGGTGCCTGTGGGCAGTAAGAAACGAAGATAACAAATGATTAATTCTCTAACGATAGAAAATGCTCATACTTCTCAGGCCATGAATATGCTGCTATGCTGATGTTCAACATCTAAACAAAATGTGGAAAAGCTTGTGCTCAACCAGACAATAAATCAAATACCACAAAAGTAAAGAGTCCATGACCTTTTAAACACTGCTGAATTACAAATCAGATCAAAGCTGGCATGGCCAGAGATGAGGGACGAAGAGAGCTATAACTCAGTAATATAGTATCAGGATTGCCACATATTTGCCACTCTTGAAAGGATGAGATGCTTTGATTTTTAGAGGAAGGATGCTTAAAGCTCCTAGACAACTTCTGATCATTCCCAATATTACGTCTTTCTGAATGAAGTAGTTTTCATTTTAAGCATCAAGGCACTTCTTACATTCTCAGATATCAGAAAAGGATTTGATTAAAAATATGAAACAATGATAGTTTGCTAAAAGCTTTTTGAGACTTTACTAAAACCTGCCATCTCTTATTTCATTCCAGTCTCATCTCTGCATAACATATATAGGACCATACAGAAGTGAAGTTCCCTTGATAATATTTCTTTTTCTCAGTCCCTTAATATTGTATCATTGGACCCCCTTCGGCGATCTTTCGTCCCGGAAGTGTGGCAGCTCTCGGGGCCGTTCCAGCCACCAACCTCTCTATCATCGCTCCGCCTCTTCATCGGCCATGAAGTCTGTTTTCGTTACCGTTGGCACCACCAGCTTTGATGACCTCATTGCGGCCGTGACGAGCCCCGAAGCGACCCAGGTTTTACAGGATCTCGGCTATCGCAAGCTCATCCTTCAGGTTGGCCGGGGCAAGGAATGTCCAGATCCATTTAGCACAGCCACACTTACTCTGGAAGTGTTCAGATTCAAGAGTTCACTTTCTGAAGATGTGAAAAAAGCAGATCTGGTCATAAGCCATACAGGAGCAGGCAGCTGTTTGGAAGTTTTGGAAGCTGGGAAACCTCTCCTGGTTGTGATCAATGACCAACTTATGGACAACCATCAGTTGGAACTGGCCAGGCAGCTGCACAAAGATGGACATCTCTTTTACTGCACATGCAAGACCCTTGTGGAGATGCTCAGATCAATGGACTTGTCTACTCTGAAGCCATTCCTTCCTGGACAGCCAGAAAAATTTGGTGCTTTCTTGGATAACGTGATTGGCAGTTAGCTACGTGGGTTATAACAAATTGCTGCCAGAACTGAAACTGGCCTAAGACCTATGCAAGCTTACAACAGTATTTGTCACCTCCAATGAAATTAAGAATTAAAGCATTCAGTAGGGCCAGCTTTTGTGTGAAACCAGCTGAAGTTTTTATACCACATTTTGTAAACCTAAAACGGAGATGAGAATATACCTTGCCTGGCATATAAAGCAAAGAGGCCCTTGGCTTGATTCATACAGTGGACAAAGTGCCAAAACCAATCTGTGTTATGATATTTATGTTGTGTAAACTCAAGTCTCATTCAGTAAAACATGATTAAGCAGGATGATTTCCCACAGTAGGTGAACCGAACACATGATTTGTGACTTAGGCAATCACGGCTCATTCAACAAACCATAATCAATGTAATACTGTTTCCTATATAAATTCATCAAATTAATATAAATAGCCAAGAGGCTCCCATGCTATTTAAATGTCTAAATCCTGTCATCATTTTGCATAAAAAAAACACAAATTCCATGCAATCTATAAACCCTTCTTCTCTTGAAAAAAAATATTGTATCATTAATTTACATGTGTTAAAAGCTTTGTTCTTTGAAATGCCACAGACTTGCATAAAATTGTGCAAATGTCTCATGCATCAGAATTAGCACCACAAAGAAGTGCTAGACTACTGGTAACTAATGCAAGGCATATTTTTGAATTACAGCTCCTTTGATTCCCCTTGGAAGAAGAGATGTTAAGCAATCCAAATAAAGTTGCTTTCCTGATAAAATAATGTGTACATCTAGCTTTCTTATACCATTTGATAGTAGAAACCAAAGGACTGCAAAATAACATTACTCCAAAAATGCTCAGTATATTTCCTGAGTGGTCAATGTGGAAAATTATGGATCTTTTATTTTTATGCCAAGATACTGAGGATAGGATTACCTTGCTGAATACCTCTGAATTTTCAATTCAAAAGTTTATATGAGCAATAATCTTTTGTTACGGCTTCCTTGGATTCTGTTCTATTCTACTCTAGACTTATATCCTGCCTTTTGTACAGAAGCTCCAGGGAAGGTAAATAGTGCTTCTCATATTTTTTCCCCCAAGACCACAACCCCGGGAGGTATGAGTTCAGAATGTCTAGCCCTAGCCCAAAGTCACCCAGGGAACTTCCATAGTTGAAGGTGAAGTAAAACTTACGTCTCCTTACTTCATCTACCAATAACTTAACTCCTACACCGCATTCTTGATTTTTACTCCGCCTTTTCCTAGAATCTAGGTGGCTTATTTGGTGTAGTGGTCCTGACCTATGACATATCTGGCTCTTGCCGCAAATTTCAACATTTGCACCACCCGATTGCACCACCAGGCTCACAGTTTCCTAGGTAAGCAAATTCCTACTCCACCTCCTTAGTGCTTTTGCGAAAACATATACCGCGCATTTACAATCAACTCCCAGCTGCTTGGCCTGCAAGAAGACACCCCCCCCCCTCCGCTCAGCAGACTGTAAACATCTCCACCTCCGAACTCTCCCACTTTCCGCGCGGAAGAAAGAGCCCGTCGGCTGTTCCAACACCTCCTCCCGCGCTGACGCAGAGAACAAACAATCAGCGGAGCTTTGAGCCCCGCCCCTCTCTAACTTTCTGCGCGGAGAGAATTGGAGATAGAGGCTTCCTTTTGCACGGCCCGGCCAATCAAGAGACTGCGTGTCATTTCTCACCCAATCGGGAGAGGTGGTTTGGCGTCCGCCAGACGGAACCCCAGTTTCTGTGATGTAGCCGCTCGCCTTCATCTTCATTGGTTGGTGCTGGTCACGCCCCCCGTGTGTGGAGGCGGAGGGGACCGCCGCGCATCGTCTGTGTCTCCGGATCTGTTTACTCCTCGCGCTCGGCTCCCCAGCGGCGGCTGAGTGGGTGGCGGCTGCGGCGGCTGCAGCAGCTGAACCGGCGGCGCCGATCGGCAGCTGGGTCACCCCTCCCTTCCCCGCAACATCTGCCGCCTTCGCCTTTCCGACGCAGCCGCGCAGCCCGCAGAGAGAGCGAAAGAATTGCCCGGGGAGAGCCATGAAGACGGAGATTTCCACGGCCGCGGGCTTCATCACCCGCCTCGTCAGGACCCCCGGCGGCATCGGCGACGAGGAGCTGCGTTGCTTCAGCGAGTCTCTCCAGGAGGCACTCCGAGGTGAGGCAGCGGCGAGAGACCCCCGTCCCCCTTTCCGTCTCTGCCTCAGCGCCGCCGCCGGGACGAGCAACACCGAGCCCGGCGCCCCTCAGCCCCTGGCACCGCTGTGCTGAGCCCAAAAAGGACGGTTCGTCCGTCCCGTCCACGGCGCGACAGCAACCTCCTGAGGCGCCTCTCCTGGAGACCCAAGTTCCCCGAATCCTGCCCCCCCCCCTGCCAGCTCTCTCCTTTCGCGGTCGGCGTCTCTGCAGCCCTGGAGCAGCTTCGGGCCCTCTCCGCGCTCGACCACCCCAATCCCTCCTACCGTTGGCGGGACCCTACTCGGCCTCGGACTTAGCCGAACGGTTTTTCCTGACCGACGGGAGCGGTTCTTGCAGCCTTCCGTCCCGTCCCAGCTTGCGGCCCCCTGCCGGGCTTGTGGCGGTCTGGTTCGGCTGATTCTGGAGTGTCCCCCCCCCCACTCTCCGTGGCCGGCTGTGCAGGCTCTAACCCTTCTCCCATTTTTTTCCTTTGTTCCCTGTTTGCAGATCATTATAAGCACCACTGGTTCCCCTTGATGCCCTCCAAAGGCTCTGGGTACCGCTGCATTAGGATCAATCACAAGATGGACCCCTTGATAGGCAAGGCAGCAGGCATGATTGGACTAAGCCATGAGAGACTCTTCCAGCTCCTGCCCAGCGAACTAACTCTCTGGGTAGACCCGTTTGAAGTGTCCTATCGTATAGGAGAAGATGGATCTATCTGCGTCCTCTACGAAGGCCCTAAACCAGCCATAAAGAATGCCAAAGCTCTGGAGAGCAGAAGCAGCTGTAAAGAGGAATGGAGAATTGGCAGAGCCAGCCCTTCCGAGAACTACAACATGATGACAGTTTCCAGTTAAAAAAAAAAAAACATTCCCTGTACAATGATGTATGTATGTATCCCACTTTGATAATGATGTTAGATGATGTAATTGATATGTTGATTTTCACCCCATAGTCATTAAAGTTGTAGTACTACTGCCAAACTCTTTGTTTTGTGGCCAAGGGCTAATGTATAAAAACAGTTCTTTTACATGTTTTCTGGATTGTATACTGTAAATGAAATTGTACAGTCACTGCAATTGTTTTACAAATTTATATTTTGGAAAAAAAAATCCTTGGCTATTTGTAATAAAAATGAAATTAATTTCATTTATTTTTTATTTTTATAATGACTTTTACTTTAGAATAGCATTCCTACATCATCATTGCACTTCTTGAGCAATAACATAGGGGTGGACATAAGAAACGAGAGATGGGGATGTGATTGGGCATTATACACTTTAATAAAAGGGATTTTTAGAACTTAACCAGTAATTTGGCTGCACAAACTTTTGTATTTGGGGATGTAAACACTGCTGTGGAATACGTATGCTATGACTAAATATCCAGAATATTTTTCCCCCAAAGTTGTCAACCATGAAATCTGAGTATTATAGAAATTTGCTGAACGGTTTGTTCCTGTCACTTTGGTCAAATATCTATTAAACATTTTGTTTTAATATATCCAATATATATTAAATTTAACAATTATTCAAGCCTTCAAAATATAATTGTAAATGCTTTCTTGGGATTAAATTGTCTAACAGTTTGTTTTGATCCACAAGTCTAATTTGGAATTATTTATGAAATAACAATATCCTTCCCAAACCTAATGCAACTCAGCAGCTTATATGAATGGAATTATTAAAAGTATTCTCAAATAAAACATATAGGTCAATTTCATAGCACATTTGAATCCAGTGTTTAAATCTATTTATTTACTCTGTCTCTGATATTTTAAAAATGTGTGCTATTGTTCTACTCAAATTTTAAAAATCTCACATTCACTGTTTTAGAATCCTAAAAGCTATTTAAAAAACTTCTCCTAAGGCCTTTGTCATAGCAAGTAGAGTTTGGTTTTGTATGTAATGAATAAGAGCATTGTAGGTTGTTAAACTCTCTAACCTATCTTAATATATCACATTACCAAGGCAAAAGGTGCAGTTAAGGAACAAGTCTGGACAGATTCAAAGTGACACGTAGAACGAATTGAAAGAGTGGAATCTCAATTGTTTTATAATTCAATAAATACAAATTCTGTTTAAAATGGAGATTTCTAATAAAATAGTTCAATAAACTGCATAACATTTTAAAACATATCATGAAATAATATTAAAATTATTTTAACTTAAAGATATATTGAGTTTTTTTTCCCCCACTTAATTGTGTCCAGTTCTTAGAGACTGCCTGGACAAGTCTCTGCAGTTTGCTTGGTGAATTGTTTTCAGAAGTGGTTTGCCATACTCTTTCCTAGGGCTGAGAGAAAGTGAACCCAAGGTCACCTTGGTGCATGCACCTTTCTTTGTAGCCAATTATCTTCACCACCACACCAAAGTGAGTCTCACTGAGCTTATAGTCTGCCTTTGAAAACAGCTGTTTAATTTACAGGAAATGAGCTTGTTTCTTTCTTTCTTTTTTTTTTTGGTGGTCAGTGCAAGTCAGTAGTATTTTGTATTCCAAATCCTGGTTAAGTTCATAAAACATAAGAAAGTTAATTTTTTTAATGCCACTGAGACAGGGAGACCCTCTCTAGGATCATTTCACTCTTCATGCCCTCCAATTAGATAACCAAGATTGCTATAGTTGAATCTATCAACCTACATTATACATATAGATCAAGCATAAATCATATTTTCATAAATGAAAATATATTTTCTCAAATTCTCTAGTAGGACCCCAGAACAACATAAAATCCCAGAATTAAAACGCCATAAAAAAGATTATATATAAAAAGGAAATCTTTTCTGTAATGTAAACCAGATGGGTGGAGATGAATCTAAACTGTCAGCAATATATGTTTGTGCTTAGAAGAATACTGCTTTTTTTCTTTCCTCTTCCTTCCTTTCCCCCCACCCTGCAATTATTGTATATTGTTCCAAAACTGGAAGTTTACAGAACATGTATTAGCTACTAAAATCTTTTAAACTATTCACAAAGATGTTTGGAAGATAACATTATTATATCAAGAACATTTGTTTGAAAGTATTAGTGTTTGTTCATAGTATGCCAGTAACATGCATGCCAAAGTGCTCTAAATAAATCACTGAAATATTTCTGTAAACTAGCCTGCCAAGGGGCTATCAGTATTATTGTGCTTGCCATGGAGAAAAGGAATCCATTTTCTGATGTCAAGCTGGAAAAAGCAGGCTAGCACCTCTTAGCAGTCTACTTGGGGAAAAAAATGGCTTTCTGCATGGCTCCATTGATTTCTCTCACACCAATCAGCTTGGTTTTCCTGCTAGCAATGGAGAACACTTGGAACAGTTCATATAGTGGAATGCAGTTCCTAATCACCCATAAGGTACCAGGTGTAATATTTAAAACAAGTGCATAGAGATTTTATATGTCAATCATATATATATGTATACTAGGGATTTTTAATCTTGTCAATTTTTTTTGCTAACTGATGCCATGAAGGTTATTTTTGCTTGATTTCCAACATGTAATTTCTGAGTCACAATATTATTATTCATACTAATACAAAATTCTTCATATTTCAAGCACTATTTGATTCCTTAAATGTGTAATACAGGATTGGAATTTATCTGTCCTGTGGCTTGTTTGCTGACTTACCTCTCAGTAGCCCCTCTTGACCTACAACATCTATTTCTGAACAAACTTGGATGTAGAAATGTCTGTTACCAATTTTACAGTGCAGAAATTATTCTGTCACTGTAACTTCACATGTAACTGCACTAAAATACTTTTGGTTATTTGGAAACAAATTTAAATAATGCATTATTAGTAACATGTAGTTTAGAAAGAGTATTCAGTAAGAAAAACACAGCACATTAAATCTACATATCATTCTTACTGTACACCTGATGCACGTAACATGATGCACATTGTGTGAAAAAGGAAATGCTATTGTACATTGGAGCCCAAACTGCTCTAAATATGTTGCTTGGGGTCCAACTTCCCTTTTTTCTCCGTCTTGCTCCATGTGCCCCAGGTGTCAAGAGTAAGCAAAAAAAAAAAAAAAAGAAATATAAAAGGCTGTATTCTGTGGTGTAAAAATCTACATTTAAAAAAGGGGGCTATTTTCACTTTAATAGTCCTTTTGAAAGTAGGAAAAGAAGAAATCACACATAATAGGCAGTGATGATATTAAGTCCAAAGGAGGAAAAAAGGTATACCTGAAAGCAAAACATTTTCATTAAAAAAAACCCCATACTTGATTATTTTGTATCCTTCCACATCAGGTATACCCAGGTAAACTTGAATGATGAGTTAAAATCATAATATAAATACTATTTATATCAAAGCTATAGTTAAAAATGCAGCATACAAACAGTAAAATGAATCATCTAGCAAATTTAGTAAAAAATCACCATATAATATTAATGGCTTGATGTAGAAAAACATGCTTAACTGGGGTGGTGGGGGGTGGGAGGGAGAGGATTGACATACCAAGATCTGTATGTAACAGAGTGAATGATCCTTCCTTGACAAG